TCATTTCTTTTTCCAGCTTTATTACTTCCCCCGACCTCACTTCATATTTTCTCCCCCTTTGCACCCTGACGTAAATTCCTCGCTATAGTCTAGTTCACTAAAATCCCTTAGAATTTCAAAACTAAACACGCTCCAGTATTTATGAAGCACATTAGAATGCTTTGGACAGTATCAAATTATATTATCAATTTATAAATGATACTTTATAATAAATTAATTATTAAGATAAATATACCCTGACATATCAGGCCAGTTTTCCCTCAGTTTATCATCAATTTAATAGTGAATTAACATCCTGTGTTTTGATCCTAGTGTCTTAAAATTATTAACACAGCTTTCGAGGCTGCATCATCTTCTCAATAGCAATTTCCACATTTGAAGCATGTTTAATATCGCTCACACCAAGTCATCAGCAATTCTGTGCTTTATTAAACAGAACTTGCAGGTGGGTTAATTGAAAAACATTTCCTCTGAATTTATTTTTTTCTCACCTCTTTCTGTCAAGAATATTTGGATAAAGAACACATCTATGTAAAATAAGTTGCTCTTCAGGAGGATGGGTGGTTTTAACAAATGCTCTATAAAGACAGATGACCAGGAGCGTGTTTCTGTAGCGGCCTGGGGGTGAGAGGACTTGTAAACATCTAGGGCACGTCCAAGGAAACTTAGTAGGCTGCTTCCAGATCTTCATAGGACTTTTATGGCACAATTACGATTTCAAATAAAACGCTGCTTCGTAAATTATTTAAAATGTTTATGGCGATTCTAAAATATTTTAAAACCCTGAAATAAAATCTATTTCCTGAAAACAGTAAAACCCTTGGAAATTGTGCCCGTGCACTAAAATAATAAAGGTTGTTATGTGTTGACTCTTTTTAATCCTAATTAAGTGGGCGAACGAAATTCTATTCCGTTCCGCTGTGGCCTTATGTTACCTCTTCCCCGTGTCTGTTTAAACAGACTTTTTCCTACATTAATCTGCGTGGGCGCACTGGAGCTCTATTTACATATGACATTTTCCCAGTTCAATTACGGCAGCGTTAAACCAATACACGCTGCAGTGTAATCTCCTGCATCTCTTAACGTCTTCCACGTTACTGTTGACTGCATTCCCATGCAACTCCAGCAACAATAATAAAATAATTCTCTGTTTGCCGTCCCGCCTTGCTGCGCGGAGGTGCGATGGGTTTGCCGCCCGCCTGAGCCTGCGCCGGGCCTCAGCCCCGCCTGGAGGCCTCGGCCCGACTCGGCGCCGTCGGGCTCGGTTCTTCTGTTGCGCATCAGCTCCGCGCAAGGCGACCTGGCTCATGTCCTGTATTAAGTCGTTTCAGTTTGTTAAGACGCTGAATTATGGCATGAAAACAAATTTATATTTCGTAGTGAACGTGAGGGAAGAAAACACGATCACCCACAACACCCACCGACCAAATCAAGAGTAAAGACATTTTGATGAGAGCTGAAAGAGTGGATAAATACACTAAATTCTTGTAGATTTTTAAAAAGTGTCACTTATAGAAAAATACAGGAGTAAGAAAATACTCACTTTGAAAGACAGAAATTTGAGGACGTTGAGTTAGCAGTGAACTCAGAAGTGAGGATTAGAATGATTTTAGCTAATTATCCCAATTCTCTGACCCTCCACATCCTCATTTACTAATATTTTGCCTTTTACCTGTTTTGAAATTAGGTTAAAATGAAGTAACAGAGGTAATAGAACACCACCAAAATATTACGTTAGACGTCGCCTGAAACTTGTCTTCGCTTATTAATAATACCTCATATGCTTGAGAAATCAAGTCCAAATCTCAAAATAAAGGTGCTATCTATTTCCAAGCAAATGCTGCTGCTATTTTTAGTGACTATAATTATTGATTATTGATTATTAATTATTGACTACTGGAGAGCTCGGTCTCTCTGCCCGCCCCCCGGGTTCTTTACTCTAGATGCCGCTCCCCGCCGCAGACTCCGGAGTCGCGGGGCGTGGAGCCCGCTGGCGCGCTAACGGGCTGTCAGGGTTGGAGCCGCCGAGCCTCTGCGAGCGGCCCGAGACTCAGGGCCGCAGACCAGGCGCGTGGTTCACG